GTGAGGGCAGGGAGGGGGTGTCCGCCATCTTGGTAGGCCTGAGCCCCCCCATGGCGGTGTCACCCTCCTGTCACCCTGTACCTGAGCCCCTCCATGGCGGTGTCACCCTCCTGTCACCCTGTACCTGAGCCCCTCCATGGCGGTGTCACCCTCCTGTCACCCTGTACCTGAGCCCCTCCATGGCGGTGTCACCCTCCTGTCACCCTGTACCTGAGCCCTGCACGCCGGGCAGGAGGTGAAGAGCAACGCTTTGCCCAGCGGTGGGAAAATTAATGAGTGTGATTATCGGCCAGGAATCTCCAGCCGCTCGTCCTTTGCTGGCAGAAGGTGCTTTGGCACCTCCAGCAATGACCACCGGTTCAATCCTGTCAGAGCGATGCCTCTCTCAGTCCCCTCGCTTTACCCCTCCGCCTACGTTCGCTAAAGGCTGCAGCAAGCCTGGGTCTCTCTGTGTAATCTTGAACACCTCTCAGAGCCCCCCGGGCAGGCTCAGAGGCTTCCTCTCCACCTAACGGCGAGCGGGCTGAGGATGGAGCGTGGGCCCTCAGCCCACCTCCCCTCCCCTGGAAAGAGGGACAGCCGGGTTCGACCCAGATTGCCAGCGGCGAGGACAGGCGAGCTAGACCGAGGGAGCAGGAAATGCGTGGAGACCCAGTTCCCTTTGAGACGGAGAAGGCTTTGCCTCCAAGAGCCAAACCCCTCAACCTGCTAGCTGGTGAGGAGCTCCTGAATCTCCTTGCTAGACGTTAATCAGCCCCCTGGTTTTATCTGCTGTCCCAACTGGTCAAGAACAGGTTTCAGTTGCCCCATGGGAGCATGAAACCAGTAAGGGTTAGGGACCAGAGCCACCCACGGTCTGCTCTTCAGCTCGGGCGTAGAAAACTACCCGCATGTGTTCTCCTCCTGCCTGAGGTCTGCCTGGCAGGACGTGGCTTTTCGAGCTGCCCCTTCCAATTACAGACCTAACGTTCTGAACACAAGTTAAAAATAAATGATTCTTTGGAAGGCATAATTACCCAGAGAGCCCCTGTCCACACCACAATGAGCCTAGAGCTGGAGACTCCAGGAATGGTACCTGTGATTAGTCCCACTGCGTGTGAAAAGGGGGGGTTTCTGGAGCTTTGGCACACCGGGAATCGGCCTCTCCCTCTCCCCAGTTCTGCCAGGCATCTTGCTGTGGTAGGTTTTCAGCACAAAGTCAGTGTCTAGGGATCAGGTGCAGCTCCTGAAGAGTTCTTACCTTTGTGCTTCCAGGCATGAAACCTGCCCACATGCTTTCCATTCTACAGGTAGTAAAACCTACTGCCACAGTGTATTACATCTAACTCACCTGTGTAGGACATCTGGCCACGCACATCCAGAAGGCCTGTCCGGTGCTTCCCAGGAGCTCTGGCACATTACACGTACATCCAGTCTTCCTGGAAGGTGTCAGAGCTTCTGCAAGTTATCCTACAGCATGCAAGCACTGCTCCAGCTGGGCTGAAGCACGCCTGGAAAGTCCTTACTCCTCCACACAGCACATGCACAGTGGTCACAGCTGACATGTACGCAAGCTGAGAAAGTCCTCAAAATCTGTACGGCCCTGGTTCTGAGCTGGTGGGAGGATGCTCCTGGAAAAGCCCGGTTTGGTGGCAGCCCCAGGGTGGCTCACGGGTCCACATCAGAAGGGAAGATGCTCCTACTTCATGATTCAACAAGGCGGCCATGACGCCTTCTCTGTGACTTCGAAGAGTCCACGGTGAGCATCCTCCAGGACGCTGCCCGCACTGAATGTGGAAGAGTTCAAGCAAGCGAGAGGGAGAAATGTGGGTTGCTGAGGGGAGACTGGGGTGCTCAGAAGCTCAGCTGCCCCGCTCCTCCTGGCCCCTGCAGACGTGGCAGGGATGCCACAAACCTGCGTGTCTGGGACTCTTCCACCCTGATCGAGCAGCTTACCGAAGCACGAGATTCGGAACTGGGAGGGATGCCAGCCTGCCCATCCTGGGAGAAGGGACAGAGGTCTGCTGCCCCTCCGAAGCTCGCGCGGCCGGTGCCACAGCTGTCCCTCAAGCTATGCCCCAGGGCCCTCAGTCTGCAGCCTGGTTCCCCTCTGGTCTTATGGCTGTTACTCACCTATGCTGATTTTTCCCTGTCCCTCAGCTGAAGATCCCCATAAGGACAACCCCTGTTATTATTTGTCATCCTTAGGGCATGGTGGTATTGCTGAACACTCCAGAGATAAAGGAGAACAGAGATGCGAGGGTTTTTCCTTAAAGACAAGCGTTTACTCATGTTTGTGTCTTGCGGTGTGATAGTGTAGGCACCAACCATCCCAAAGGTCACAGCAACGTCCCCCAAATGTTTACAGCAGTACGGATGTTGACCAACAGCTGAGCCCAGACAGCGGCCCCATCCCATGCCTTCTCCTTGTACTGGCTCAGCTCTCTTTGTGAACAGCACAAGCAAAAAGCAGGAGGAGGTCCTGACCCACGGCCCTGTCCGAGCTGCCGTCTGGGGCTGTAAGGAAGAAATATCCCAACATGAACGCAGAGTCGTTCTTCCTCCAGAAAGCTTACCTGATTACCAACAGCTTGCGGCCCTTGCTCACATTATCCTTCTGGAATAAGTTATGCGGCGTCCCTCGATGAATGCAGAAATGAAAGGAAAAAAAAGAAATCAGCACTTTAGCAGCAAAGTCAGAAGAGTCCATGAAAATCGCTCTCCTTTCTCCAGACTTCATTGCCTGCACAAGTCTACCCAGCAGGGAACGATCACATTCATACCAGTGTTACTCCTTTCAAACCCCAATTAAAGGTCAAGCAGTAACCGAGAGGAGGCTTTTCAGAGCAAACCCTTTGCCTGGTTCTCACCACAGTTCATGTAGAAGGATGGTTTTCCTCCACGTGCAAGCCATTTTCAGAGCCAGCTCTCCCATGACAGCTCATGGCACCAAAAAGTGAAAGACTTCTGCCATGGCCATGGAGAAGTCCGCTCCGGGGAGTCTCATTTCCAGAGAGACAAACAAAAAGCCACAAGACATAGGGGAGAAATGGCCAATGACAGGGAAGTCAAAGAGGTAGATCTGTCACGTTAGCAGTGAGCCTGGCGAGGGTTTGCGAAGCAGCGGGCAATGACAGCAGCCTACCACAGTCTGCAGAGGACCCATCGTGAAAGCAGGGCAAGAGAAACACAGGAGGAAGCGTCTGAGGGGCTGCAAAGCCACAGCTGTGGCAGAGATGCTCTCGGTTTCAGGGACGCTGCTGCCGCCCTTGTCCAGGTTTATTCAGGTCCTGAAGGACTCTCTACCAGAGCTGGAGATGTTTGTAGTGGAAGCCAAGGTGTAGAGGGTTAGAGAAAAGCCCTCCTGCGCCAATTTCTCTGGCAGATGGTGGCACTGGCTGGTGCGGGAAGCCCCCGGAGGGTGATGTCAGGGTCCAGGTTTTCCCATCTTTTGTTATCTCAGAGGGAGATCGTGCTAGCCCAGGCAGGGTGAAGGGGCTCCATGTTCTCCTGGCACCTTCCTGCTAGCTTTTCTGCCCAGGCAAGGGTTAGAGAGAGAAAATGCATCCAGTCAGAATGGTTCCCTCTGCCCTTGAGGCCAAGCGTGAGGTTTGTTCCCTCCGGATCCATTTTCTGATGCCGATGGCCTTGCTCTGGCTCCCGGTCCGTGGGGAACTCTCCCAGTCCAGCAGATCTCAAGAGCCTGGTGAGTCCAGGTGTGGCCCCAGCTTCCACAGCACCCCCTGCTCAGAGCATCGTCACTCAGCTGTCACCTCCCCACCATCGCCCTTCCCGCCGGCCTGGCCCTTTGCACCCTTCGACTAATTACACTGCTTTCCGATTTCCCGCAGGGCGCAAATGGAGCCCAAGGTCCTGGCTGCTTGGTCGACCCCTCCAGCCCTTCCCCGGCCCTTCCCTGTTGGGCTTCCAGCCAAGATGCGAGGAGGGCCAGGAGCAGGGGGCTCTGCATATTCAGCACTTGACCCTGCCTTTTCCCAGGCAGAAATTCAAAGGGCACCTCTCTGGGAGGGGATCTCGACATCTCCCCCGGGGCATTCCTAGCTATTGTGGCTCCTCTCCTCTGCCCCAGGCCATGTGTGTTTGTAGTTACCAAATGCAAATTGCATTTCCCACCCTCCTGGCTGCATCTCTCACTCCACAAGATCCTTCCCTTGCTTTTTTTTTTCTCACCAGCTCGTTTTGCAATGCTCTGCGGAGTTCACAGCCCCTCCTGGTTTCACCTCCCTCGGATCTGGCGATGCTATAGGGAAGGTATTTAAGCAATCCTCCTAATTAAGTACCTGCATCAGCTCTCTGGACACAGAAACTGCAGCTATTTTGCAGCTGGAGACTCCCTTTTCTGAGGAATGCCGGTGACT